CTTAAACTCCATATTTATGTTTCTCTCGCCCTAAAAGAACTCCGTAAACACCATTAGTCCTCCCAAGTATTTTTCAAAGAGATTACGTTTGATCCCAAAAGCATTTGAAAGAAATTTTGCTGAGATTAGATGGGACTTTGGTATTTTAAGATTTGACAATAATTATTAGCCAAAAAAGAAAATGTTTTCTCTGAGAATTTGTACAGCAATGCAATATTTGGTTTGAACGAGCATGTGTAATCTCTAACAATAATGGTTATTAACACCAATGAAATTTGGGTGACATTTGACAGTGGTTATTTGTTATATTTTGCTGAGATTTCTGCAGGAATTGCCAAAACGGTATGGCAATATTTGCCAAAATGGAAGAGAAGAGCAAGTGCCACTAGAGCTTGTGATTTGTGGTCATTTCACAAATTTACAAAGAGGTTTAATAGAGGATTTGGATGTTTATTTAAGGTGATGGTGATCAGATAGGATATACCAGTGATAATCAGGGTTGTTTTGCATCTCAAATGCTTAATATATCTCAAATTGTGAGATAAGATATAGGGATTTATGGTCTTATTGACGATATAAACAAAATGATGGAACAAGATTCATATAGCCAAACCCAAATAGTTGGGACTCGATGATGATTAGTGGATGAATGGTATGAGGAAGACGGAGCTATTGAAGTGCAGGTCTCTCGTTGAAGTGCCGGTCTCTCTCCCTGGCATAAATTTTTTATATGAATGACTATGAAAACCGTTGAAAATTAACAGTTTTTTTACAGCAATTTTGCAGAGATTTCGGAGAAATTTGTTGAGATTGAACATTTGCTGCATTTGAGACTTCAGAGATATGTTGAGATTTGACATTTGCCATATTTTGCTTAGATTTTCTACAGCAATTTTGCAAGAGCAGTATGCCAATATTTGGTTTAACTGATGATGAAAGTCCCTGAAAATTAACAGCAATTTTATGATTTTATTTAGATTTCAAGTCAAATGATATCTGCAAATTTAAGTCTAGAGATTTATGGTTTAAAACTGAGTCTTACTCTTGAACATTGTTCACAAAACCAGCCGCTAGATCTTTTGCTTGATTTTTTTTAATTATGTTTTTTAAGTGTATGATATAGTTATCTTTGTAATGATGGAAATGGGACATTTTGTTTTTTTAAGTGCATACAAAAATTTTGATTGTCTTATGTTCAATGAAACACTACACCATCTTCTTGTATGTGCTTGGTTCTTCTCTTCTTGTTTTTTCTTTTTTTTCTTTTTTTTTTTTCTTTTTTTTTTCTATCAAGGTGTTTGGAATTTTGTGAAAAGGGTCTTTAAAAGAACAGCCAATTTTTTTAAAATCGACCGACTTACTCGGGATTGGTCACACGGCCAGATCGGGCCGATCTCGATCTGGCCCAACTCCACACACACACAAAAAGAGAAAGTCCCAATTCCACACACACACAAAAAGAGAAAGTTTTACAAAAGGGGTCTTAATTTCAAATCATCCCTCACATTTTGAGAAATAGATTTTTCTACAAATAAAATTCATTTTGCTTAATAACATTTTTTTTTTTTTTATCAATATGGGAAGCTTTTTTCTATATTACTGAATAAAATGATCTTTCTAATAAAATTATGTTTTTAATAAAAAATATATTTTTTGATGAATATGGGAAGTGTTTTTCTATTTTGTTTAACTAAATTATTTTTTGATAAAATTATGATTTTTTAATAAAATTAGTTTTATGATGAATATGGGAAGCGTTTTTCCATTTTGCTTAATAAATTTATTTTTTTGATAAAATTATGATTTTTTAATAAACTTGTGTTTTATGATAAATATGGGAAGTGTTTTTCTATTTTGCTTAATAAGCTTATTTTTGATAAAATTATGTGTTCTAGTGTTCTTATTTTTTGATAAAATCAACACACAACACAATGATATGGATATGATGTGTATTGTGCATTGATTTTTCATTTTGTTGCATATTATGAGATATACGTTTTGTGAAGTATGCTTTATTTAGCTTCATCGAAAAAATATTGTATGAATTATGCTTTACCTAACTATATGGAAGATGTCTTTTTGTTTCATGTCAAAATTAGTTGGTGTTTTTATTTGATTTAATAGCATCAAGCTACTTTTGTTATATGCAAAAAAGGGCATAGACTTTCATTCCTAATGTGACGATTTTTGTAAAAAAAAAACTAGAAAGTTTTTCATGGGGATGAATATGTTAATTTTTTGTGACCTGCTTGGGATCATGTACAGGACTATAGTATTCAAATATTAATTTATATAAAATAGTTTCAATTTTTTTTTGTAAGATAAATATATGTAATAATATATTATACACTTAATCTAAGTTTTTTATTTTTTATTTTTTTTTAGATTTTTTACCCTTTTTTAAAATAAAAAAAAATCTACTTCCGGTTAACCACCACAGTTAGTCTGATTTCAGTTCAAACCGCTCCCGGCCCCATGTACTGCTCTTGAACCAATACAATTATCACTTACGTAAATTTGTGAAAAGAGACCTGAGTGCTCTTGTTCCGGTTGAGAGAGCTCCAAACGAGGGGAGAATCCCAAAATTGGTTTCGTTGGAGAATGCTCAAAAATGGTTTTCTTTGTGGGTGTTAGGATTCGGAGGTTATTGAGGACCTCAGTTTACTATTATTTTATTTTAATTATTTTTTGTGGGTGCAAGGATTCCCCATTGAGAGAACGTTTGGTTTATCTGTTTGGTGAAAAATTTGCATGTTTTATGGAGAAATACTAAAAAATAAATGATCAAACAAAAACTAAATAAAATTATACATAATTAGGAATACCTACAACACAATAATCCTATGTTGAATATAATAATAACTTCAGATAAGATGGTATGCTCCTTTTAAGGTTTGTCATCCAAACTGCCCCTAAGGGAAAGGTTTTTATGCTTATCCTACAGCATAGAAGTTCTATCCTCTCCCTAACATCCAGCCGTCCAATTTTGATCAAGAGAGCCACTCAATGTTTGATCTTAGATCCGACGTCTCAAAATATTTTATTTTTAGTTTTTTTAATACAAATTGTATGAATATGAAATTTGGTACATGTCATCTTCTCATTGGAACACACCTATAAAAAAAATATTAAAAATAATTTTTCAAAAATATAATGACCAAAATACCCCTTAAAGCTTTCAGGGGTATTTTAGTCATTTTATTTTATTGAAAATATTTTTTTTATATTTTTCTCTAGTGCAAGTTTAATAGAGAAATGGATATCCAAAATTTGGTGTCAAAACAATTTATAGAAAAAAATTAAAAATAAAATAGTGTAAAGATGTGACATTGTGATTGGGACAATCTTAACCCTCCATTCAAAATGGAGGGTTGGATAAAAAAGACGATAGAACTTCTATGCGGTAGGGAAAGCATAAAAAGCTTACCCTACGGATAAATCTAGTTGACTAAGCCTAATTCTAATTGATTTGTTCCAAAGTTGGACCAATGATTCCCAAAAAGAACCCAATTCCGATTTCCAATTTGTAGCATACTAACAACAAAATTTTTAAAAAATAGGAAACCATGAGTATCGAGTTGATATGGGAGATGCACGAATAGGAATCCCCCGAGACTCGATCCTGATCCGAGTTGGAATGGCAATTTTTCAAATATTGGTTTGGACCCATAATATCCCAAACCTAGGGGTAAAAACTACTTTTGAGCAAGGACACTTCTACATAATTTTCCCCGGAAAACCCTAAACTCACTTGCATGAATAGAGTGTTTTAATAAAGAAGAAACTCTTTTAAGGAACATGTTTATATAAAGATGCAACCTTATAATGTAGAACTACGGATGCACATCAAAAATCCATCAACAAAGGTAGTTTTAAAGTTGAAAAAACCCTTTGATTGATCATCTCGACATCGAGATGTATGATTATAAAAAACAAAAAGATTTTAAGCCTCATAAATAATTCATTTTGCAATATATTATCTACACCGTCCATTTTCAAGATTTTCATATGTTTATAAATCTACTTGATTTTAACCATTTTTTAAATTTAAAATTTTATAATTAGGTATAAAAATAGATTTTCAGATAATCTTAAGAACATTTTACACCAAAATTATATGGGCAATGATTTCATGCAACCGTTGTATAGCAATATGATGCAACAACTTTAAAAAACCATTTTGTAGCCAACTTTGATCCAAATTTTGAAATATACACTCTTTTCATTCTAATGAACAATTACAAAAAAAGAAAAAATTAAAAACACAACCTAGAAAGTATTTTTTTAGTCCAATTAACATAGGCCGTTTATTTTGGTGAGATGCTTAGATTTAGATCTTAAAATGATTTTTTCATTTCCAATTTTTTTGGATGGCTTTATTATCATTAGATGAACAATGTTAAAAAAGAAAAAAATAATTTTCAGTTTATAAAAGCTAAGATCTTGAACTTCACAAAATGAATGGTCTAGATTCGTTTTTGGAGGTGACTCATTTTGACCATATCTAGGGTTCAAATTCAATTTTTTTTGGGAGGGGATTGATTATTGAGATGAAGAGAGCGTGAGTGCAAAATTTGGGGTCATTCAAATACCACAACCATGGTTTTCTAGAAATGTCGTTGCATTATACTATGATACAACCGTTGCATTGGATCATTGCTCAAATTATATACCATGACAAAATTTGAAGGTGAACCTTACCCCTACAACTACGGATGCATCCGTATGCCAACTGCACCCCTCTTTTAAAGACTCCTTTCAGGTCCCAAAGGTAGAGCCTTTTTAAGGGTGCTCTCCTCTTCCTTTAAGGGTAAGGAGTATCATACTCGTTCAGAACGATGTTACACCATCTAGATATCGCAACATGCGCTTTTTCTCTAAATTTTACAGAGCAAGTTTTTTGCAAACATAAAGGAAAAGAGGATCGATGGTTAGGGACACCATATTCAAGGGACCAATGGTTTTGAAGGATGTTTCCCTAATTGCCATGGAGGAAAGGAAAAAGTAAACAAGCAATAGCAGCGTCTTTCTCTATGTTTCAATCCCACACTCCCAAGAAAAACGGGCAATTCTATAAACAAAACCGTAATGACTGACAATTTCTACAAAAAAGGAATATGATGCAAAAACCAGCACAAGTAAATCAAACAACTCACTCTTGCCCATCTTCAGATCCCTCCTCAAAGAAACCTCGTTGAGCAATTCTATAGTACAAAATGATCATGGTGATCATGCATGCCCTGACCAAAATTGAAATTCTAATCAGTAAGCATATGGTAAAGCCACAGAGAGAAAAAATAGAAAGAGACTCTCTCCTTAAGTGCAACCTGGAGTCATATGCCTGTAGGCTCCTCCAAGGGGGGTTCGGAGGTCCAACTTAACAACCACTGAAGTTTGCACCATGAGTATACTTATAAATTATCACGTATGTGTATGTAAATCATGCTCTCTCTCTCTCTCTCTCTCTCTCTCTCATGTGCATGTGTGCATAGGTGGGTGTGCATCCATGCACCTTAAAGGCAAGACTTTGTTAGAAGCATATCTCTCAAAGCAATGTGAATTTGACTTCAATGAAGCTTAAGCCTCAGGCAGCATACAAAGCCTCTATTTCAAAGCATTGACATGCATGCTTCAATAGAAGCAAGGCACATATCAACGGGGCTCCCTGATGGGGGATCAATGTTTATTTTCTACTTTTTATCCTTTATGCCTTCAAAAGTCGTGGCTCTAAGCATATTATGAAACAAAAAAAAAACATACAAACAATTATAACCAGGTCTTTAAGTATTCTTGATAAAATTTGTATTATTATTATTGCTGTCACTGTGGTTGTTGTAATCATCATAATCTTGATCTTTGTTGTTAAAATTACAGTTAATGTTGCTGTCATCATCATCATTATCATAATTATTATTGGTAGCAAGGTTCTTTTTTGGTAGTGAGGTTTCATAAACTGTTAGTCTAGATATCAAAATAGACATACATTTTCTAAGGTATTCCCATGAAACACAATATTATGCCTAAAGCTTTGTGATTGGCCCCTAAAACCTCAATCAAAGAAAAATTAAATGAAGCAGATTGTTGTATAAATCCAGTGGAGAATGCATACATTATAGCCATGATGAGGAGAAGTTTCCTTGGATCCATCCTTGAAGACCTAGGAGGCCTTGAACGACCTTCTGTGACTTCATCATTTGTTGTCCCATCTCTACCCTCTTTCCGGGGGGGAGCAGTCACTGGTAAAGTTGGCAAGGCCGATGACCAGAAAGGTAGTAGAAACCTAAGAAACTTGTGTCGGAATGGGCCTACAATTCATGAAATGTGATAACATTTTCAATAATTCAAATGAAACCAAAAAGAGATTTATTATGGTATTGAATACCATGAGACCATTTATCTTTGTTACAAGGAGGACATAATTGCTACTAGTCATTAGATGTCAAATTGGAGAAAGTTTTTTAAAACTTTGGAATCTAGTCGCTGACACAGTCACAACCATCCAATTTGAAATCTGACAGACAAGAGTAAATGGCCTCTTTGTATACTTTTCCATTTATAATAGTTAGTTTTGAGTGTCTGTATTTGTGTGCATTTCCATGCTCTGGTACATATATTTCACAAATATTAACATGGAGACATCTTAATCACAGTTATCAATACAATCACAAGCAAAACAAGACAGGTGTGTAAATACAAGGAATGTGGTAGAAATACCTCTGATAAATAAAAGATAAGTAGAAATACCACTGATAAATAAAAGATATTGTTTAAAAGGCATCAAATAGTCATAGTAGAAGTCAATATTGGTTTTACTCATTTCTTATTCCTCATAACTATAAGACAAACCACTTTACAACTTATGCATGAAGTAAACAAGGTTAAAAGTACATGCTACATTTTTCTTATTCCTCGTAACCATTAGACAAATCACTTTACAACCTATGCATGAAGTAAACAAGGTTAAAAGTACATAGTACATTCAAATTGACAGAACAGAATAAAGATGATCGCACAAAAATACGTAATAGCAATCATCACCCTGTAGCCAAACTACCCAGTCCTTATGATGATATATCATGTAGAGAGAGAGAAAAAGAGAGAGAGAGAGAGAGAGTGTGTGTGTTACTGAATCAAAACTAACCTAGAAATATTTGTCCATGAAAAGAAAAGAAGTAATCCACCCGATTTCCAATTACAGGGTAGAAATGAAAATAACAACTCACCCCTTCGAGTGTACTTTCTGTGGCTTCCATCTTCATCATCCGCATAATATGAAACTTCAGAATATTTATCAATGCTATGAGAACCCTTTCTTGTTGTAGCTCCAGGCTTCATTGTAATTGCATAAAACAATGTTAGCATAGAAAGTTCACAATCCAACAATAACGGTAAACTCATGAAGAAAACCAGTTTAAGACAGTGAATTGAGGATATTGACTTACCCCACCAGGACTCATGTTTTGGAAGTTAGATTCATGTACTGAAGTAAAAGGATTCCCTACTGAACTTGGACCACCTATCTCCACAATATCTGATACTGCAACTGTTCCATCAACTACACCGGTTCCAGGTGATTGGGTTTCAGCCAAGTTCTCCATTTTCATAGCAGAGGAAGACAACGAGCTTGTATCTCTGGTGGACTCAAACGCATTTGAGTTACCTTTCTCATTGACTGCAGCAAGTGGGTCTGATGCAAAAGCAGGAGGAGGACTGCGATATTCGGTAGCTGGCAATGAAACTAAATAATTTCCTAAGAGGTTCTTTTCCATCCCACTCTGCAAAGAAACCCAGTTGGAACTTTGTAGCATCAGTTTGATGCGAAAATATGGATTTTGCACAGAAGTATCCTGAACAATAAACTTGTTTCATGGTTTGAAACTTGTGCGTAACAAGTCAGTTGCATGATGCACCATGAGACATCAGATTAAAATTAGTTTTAGAATTTAACTTAAATAAAGATATATACTTTTATTTAGTTTTTAAGTAGTACAGTGTTCACTTCTATACCTATTTAATTCGCCCAAATTTTTATTCAATATCTCATACTTAATTTTACTTTTCAGATTATAGACAACATTACATTATTTTTTAATAAAAATCTTAGGTAGTTGTTTTGATGGGAATTCCCACTTTGGTGGAAGTCCTATTTTAACTGCATAGACTCTGACGGAGCCTATTCTATATCAATGTTGTCAGATTCGCTTCGGAGTCTTCTTCGGTTTGGTGAGAAAAATGAAACAATTCAATGCTTTGGCCGATTCGTGTGAAGACTTTGGACTTTTTTTTTAATTTAATACAAATAAATTAGAGATATTTATATATATATATATAAATAATTTAAAAATAAAATAAAATTAGAAAATTAAAAAATACTTTTATATAGGTATTTCTTTTTTGACTGAAGCAACCCGAACCTTCAGCCGAAGCAGACCCAAATCAGACCGAAGCGTCCCGAATCTGACTAGAGCGGTAGCAGTAGCACCACGCTTCTCTTCACTTCGGTTTATGCTTAACATTGTTCAATATCTAACATATAAAATCTTCTGGATAATTTATTACTGGATTTATTTTCCTATTTATTCTCTATATTTAATTTTATTAAAAAATAGAGTTGGATCATAATGAGAAATGTTTGTGAGGAATGCACAGAATCATTTTATACCTTTATCCGTCTAATTTTTTTTTTTTTTTTTTTAATTTCTTATACTGACTTGTTGGCGACAACATGAGGAAAAGTAAACTTAGGAGGGCTGGCCATGTGCACTACAAACCCAATACAACACCAGTTAGGAGGTGCGATTTAGTTTAAGTGGAAGCCTCTAAAAGTACAAAACGAAAGCCCAAAAGGTCATAGATGGAAGTAGTGAGAAAAGATAAGGGGACTTATGGTCTCATTGAGGATATGGCCCTTGATAGAGCAAAATGGCAGTATAAGATTTATGTAGTCAACCCCAAATAGTAGGGATAAGGTTCTGATGATGAATGATGATGATGATGATACTGAAGTTTACTTGTTATATTACAAATATTCTGCATTTTACTAATATAAATATTGAACTAGATATTATATTTAATTAAAATTACCAGCCGTTTTATTGGGAATTCCAATTTTAACTTGATTGACTTTGATGGAGCCATTTCAATTCTTAATGCAAATCTTTCTCTAGATTCTTATAAAGTTTTATATTTATTCATTTTGGATTTCTCTTCTTATGTATTCCCTCTAGTTTATTTTTATTAAAAAATGAATTTGGATAAAGACATTTTTAAGGTGAGGTAGATCTGATTTTTCATAAGAAGTTTTATTATTGGATTTAGATAACTAACATGAGAGAGAGTTTAGGCAAATTAGAGGGGAAAAGGAGCGATGGAGAGCAATTCAAAAGTTGCATTCTTATGTAGTCTGCTTTATACAAATATACATATGAAGTTCCAAATGCTAAATTCCTTTTTGAGGAAAGTACATATGTCAAATGCAAAAGGTTTTAATCAGCTACTTCAGATAGTGCATATAAGTCGACGCACCTCTACAACTAGCAGACCCATTATAAACCAAATAAAAGATCTTGCAATATATATTGCCCACCAGGAACAATAAAGTCCTCCGATATAATCACCTAGAAACAGATGTTATACATTGTTCTAATCATAGATCTGAAAATATTATGCTCTAGGAGCAAAATGTAAATCTGCTCCCTTTGGATAGAACACCAGCTATGAGTATTTTTAGGACTCCAAAATTGGGAGATGTGAACCTTCGAGTCTCAACCCCCCACCTAAAAAAAAAGGGAAACGCACTTTTGAAGTGAAGTTTCTTTTCCCTTAACAATATTACTGATCTAATATTCAAAAAACAATATTACTGATCTAATGATTCTTAATTAAGTTCAAACATGCCAAAATATTTCATGCTCCCAAAGGAGCGTACTCTCCATTTACTCCTTCGGGCAAAACCCAACATAGAAGTATTTTTATAAAACTCAAAATTCAAATTTTTGAATATAATCATCTAGTGATTTTTAGGTCGTTCCCAAAATTTTGGATAAAAAAAAATCTTCCTAAGTTAGTCTTCTACCCAAGGGAGTAGGTGTACAGTATATGCTCCCATGGGAGCATATATGCACTATTCAAACATTTCATATCAAGAAAATCCAAGTGGGCCTTTTGCTCTACGGAGCATATATACATTTTGCTCCAGCGGAAGCACTGGATACACACAATTCATAGATATCAATATAGCAGCGCATACTGTTGATGCATCTGCATTGCAAGAGTAAATATACCTTTTTTATAAATAAAGCTGAATTTTTTTAATCTTTGGCTTAGGAGCCTAGAATATTCCTGGTATGGGAATTCATGGATCTTACATTTAAGTATGGTCCAATCCTTTACAACTCCTACAAAAAAAAACACCATGAAGTAGAACATGACCCAGATGAAGTTGTTCTTCTCTTTTCTTATTTTTTTTCAATAAGTATCCATGGGGGGTTCATTTGCTAAGCATATTAGTGATCATGCATGTATTTCCTAAAACAAAAACACATTTATTAACATTATTTTGTCTAACTACATAAGCATTCAGCAGTGTCCACTTTTAGAACTTTAATTTTCTTTATTCCTACTAATACGAAGAAGGAAGAGAAGCTGAGTGTTTGATATATTTAAAGCTGCATACATGAACCTAACTGGATCATCCTTCATGTAACTGTATATATTTCTATGATTTCATGTAACTATGTATACTTCTATGTTTTATTAAACTTCATATCTTTCTGTGATTTGTTATCCTTAAAAGTAAACAACTATAGCTGCCGCTGAAGTGCATAATTTAAAGTTCAAAAATGGACACTGAACAATTGATTGTAGTAAAACAAGAACAGTGTTCCTTTGATTTCCTCGACTAAAATCCATTGATTCAAAAAGCGGTCCACTCAACGCCTAGGCGGGCTAGGGGGCCAGGGCGCATCGCCTAGACTTGGGCGGACCAACTAGGTGGGCAGCCTCTGGGCGCCCGCCTAGTACACTGCCTAGGCAAGCACCTAGGCTAGCTGGGCGGGCGCCAAGGGGACTGCACCCACCTAGTTGCAAAAATACCCATCGAGTGGGGTATTTTTGGTGTTTTTTCAGTTTAGATTATAAAGAATGCATGAATACGCATTTTTAATACAAAATGTAGACCTAAAACCGGATTACTGGGTGCTAGAGGCCTAGATCCCCCTGGCCGCCTAGGCACCGCCCGGCGTTTTTTGGAACACTGCTAAAATCCATAAAAGATGAGAAGATGCGCGCATTCCAGAAACAAGCGCACACTCTCACCTGAATAATGGCTTCCTTCAATTTTGAATGTAGACGTGAACCCGAGTCTTTAATGCTTTTAGGAGGCCATACCTACACATGAGCAAGTGTCAGGATGGAACCATCCCCATGAAACAGCACAAATCATAAATATGAATTGAGGCTGTTCAAGTGGCAGAACAAACAACTCAACCAATTCATGCATAAAAACAGAAAAGATATTTACTTAATTCGCATGTAAAAAAAGAACACCATGTCTAGAAAGTCTTTTAAGACAAAGTTAGACTTCACTCAAAAAGTATGAAGTTAATCAAAAGAACATAGTTATTCAAAATCCCACTCACCACCCCCGCCCCACCCAAAAAAAAAAAAATCCCCTCTTCCCCACCAAAAAATAATAATAATAATAATAATAATAACAATAATTATAAATATCACACTCACCCAATCGCACCCAAAAAAATACATATATTGGAAGAAAACAAAAGAAATATTTGTTCAAGAACAAATAGATTGTAGGGGAATTGAACTGAATGCTTGACACAATAGTAATGCCAGGGAAACAAGCTTACCTGATCTAACACACACTTAATGAATAAAAATTAAAAAGAAACACAGTACCAAGTAGAATTTCATCTTATGAATCTTACAGGAGTGGAACATGAAGGGCACACATATCCTGCTGGAGCTGTGTGAGGAGGAAAACTTTGAATATGAGACACCAAGCATTTTGTGTGAATGATATCTGAGATGGACAAAAAGTAGAATTACATTATGACCTCCAAATCCACCAGAAAAGGTAAGATCAGTAAAGAAACTGGAGATAGCATAAGAAAATAACATACGCAAGCACCCCAACCGAACTGTCTGTGCATTTGAATCATCTTCAATTGCACTCTGGCATTTGCTGCAAGTAGGAGGCCAATCATACTCTCCATCTATCACCCATTCGGAGTAGGAGCGCACCTATAACAGCTTGCAAGCAAGTAATGCATCAAGATATCTCAAAAAGCTTCATTTCATATTATACTATATCAAAATAAAGAAGATAAGTTGGTTACATATAATCTTAGAGCTAACATCTAAAAAAGCATTTATCCATGCAATCCACTTTACACTATCATGTTGAGAGACCCAGGGATCTCAATCAATGGCAAGATTGCAAACTAAAATGCATCAAACAGACAATTCTTTTGTGTATGATTAAAATGATGCAAAACACATGCACACATGCATGCACATATACACACAAACATTGCTTGCAAATGGATTAGACATTTATTAATGTTAGAATCAGCAACAGGTTTTGAGGTGCGACTATAACAGGGTTATACATTGATCTGAACGTACAAATAGAAGCCTATTGTTGATGAAAAGTGATAGATGCAAGAAACTTTTTGTCAGCACTAAGATGCATGCAAAGTCATAATGAACAGAAATAAATAAACATAACCCCTTTTGCGTCAAAATGCACTAGACACATACTGCAAGGACTTGATGATGAAATGGTATCAGAGGCATGATTTTGGCGGTGTCAGGCTTGTGCACACTTGCATGTGTGTGTGTGTTGGTGTAGACAGGGAAAGAGAGGGAGAGAGACCTACGGCTAGTCCAACGAGGTTAATTACGCCCCTTGCAGAAAGCTCGAAAATTGCAACCACCACATGGAAGAAATTTCTGGAAAAGGTTTGCCAGAGAGGTTATCACGCACACTGCAGGAGGAGAATAACGATGTATTTCCAGGTAAATCTTACATCCTCAGATACCGAATATCAGGAGGAATTTGCAGAACAGGAAAACGGGACAAGTGTTCAATGTATTGGACAATGTCCATAGTGTTTATGTCATGAAGGAAGATAAACAAGGTAGGATAATATGCGTAATAAAGGAGACAGTTTTTGGTAAAATCTATGTAATGAACCAAGAGAGGATAATATGGGTAATAAAGGAGACAAAGGATTTTGGTAAAATCTGTGTAACAAACTATGTAGGCTTGCAAACACCTTCCATCTCAGTGGAGGAAGGAAGCCACGTCTTGGTTTTCACTTACATATGATTAGCATGGATAGACAAATTTTTGTAAATAACCATCTATGATACAGATGTATGGCATTCCCCAAGAAATGTGTTCCATTTAGTGCCTACTTTATAGAAAAGATAAAACCTGTTCCTAGGCATGTATATTAAAGAAAGAAAGCCCAGGTACTCACCACACATATCTGATGCTCAGGAAAGCAGATGCACTCCCCACAAACAGGAACTTTGTGCACAAAACAATAAAGCTTAGTTGCCTGAAACCATATATTCTTAGATATTAGCAACTTCTATGGAAAATGTAAGCCAAGAATGTTTTGAAGAGAAAAAACAAACTCCAAACCAAGATCTGCTGCAAACACCACACGTTTAAAATACTTAAATGTGCATTTCACATATAATCAATGGGAAAACATATGTGGTTCCACATAATTTGCATGTATTTGCTTATTGCAGATAGGATTTTCTACAAACCATGCCATAATAACAAAATTTTCTTTTCTCCATTCAGAATTACAGGAAATCTGTTTGGCAAATTTTGTCCAAAGTTTGACATATAGAAGAGAAAGTGTCACAAAACCATTCAATTGTTAAAAGTGTCACAAAACCATTCCATTACAAGCATGTTTTGTAACTATATTCTTCAGTAATATATTGCTACCTTCTCTCAAAAATCATTCATTGTTAAAAACTGAAAAAATATAATTTACTAAAGAAGAACATAGAGTGGAGAGAAATTGCCATATATAACACAAGCGAATTTCTGCTGCCATTTATGGGTTTCCAAGAACAAGCATCTAGACTCATTCAGACCATCATGTGAAACTTGAGAAAACTCCTTAAATACCATGTCATAAGGAACACCAAGAAAACATAATTTAAATTCATATGTAGTACCAAAACTGGCTTCACTGAGAATAAAAAGTGCCCATGACTAATTACATACAACCAATATAGGAACCTTTCAACTTTATCCAAAAAAATATATATATATATATAGGAACCTTCAAAACAATTAGTAGAAATACATATACAAGCCTCATAAAATGATTGAAATAAACAGAAAGAATATGCTTGATATTTACCTAAAAATAAGATTAAAATGGAGCCTAAACTATAGGAATCACAAGCCTAATCACATAACTACACCTCACAATCTGAACAGTGAGTAGGAAGCCTTTACATACACCATCCCTTTATTAAATGTCACATGCCAAGAGGTGTGGATGGAAGGATAGATATATTAGCACATGTAACTTTGCGATGATTAGGGTCCCTTTTTCATGGGGATTTACCCATCACAGAGATGCACAGAGGAACAGAACGAACTTCATATATCCCTTTTCCACTCAATCCAGAAACAAGATCGGACGTTATTCCGGTTCGTCTCCATTTTCGCGAAACTCTTCCTCAAGCAAGGCAGCCGATAAGTCATCGAAGGCTTTGTGTGAGGAATGGTAAGCATTACTCGTTTGAAAGTGTCCCACGGTGATCTAATATCTTTTCAAGAAAATTATGCGAGAACCAAGGGGGAAGAAAGAAGGAGATCTTTCTATATCGAAATATACCTAATAAAATAAATCCCTCAAATATGATGAAATCTTCTATCACCTTGTCTTTACGGCATGAACATAGAATAACCCACCAAAGGAACATATGAAGGTGCACGTTGTGCGTCTGGAAATCAAATCATAAGCTACGTAGAAAAGCTGATGGGGCTCCCAAAAGAACCACGAGAGAGGAAGCAACAATTTCAAACCGTTTTGCCTTTGAATATCTTAGGAGGAATTGCCTAGGCTTAAAGGGAGAAGCCATACTTAAAAAAGTACAGGAAGTTTTTAATCTCATTAAAGCAGCAAGACAAACGCACATGTGAGCATATTTTAAATCGAAATAATTGGAGATACTATAGAAATGTCAGGAGCTTAAATGCCCAAAATGACACCCCAGGGATGGGATCCAGGACAATAATTATGTTGACTAAGGAAACAAAATTGAATGGCTCATAGAAATTCTTGGAGATGGGAAGATGTGGAAGGATTACCACATGGTGGTGCGGGACAAAAATGAAGTGTGGCATTTAGGTTCTCCGGTTCCCAATTTTGTGAATAGATGTAGAGCCTTTTGGATCTTGCACAATTTGTTGATAGAACAACTTTATATGCAAGGCCATTCTATTGGGCATTTGGTGCGGGCCCGACAGCTACAGAAAAATACCCTAGCTTGGACCTAGAATGCCACTTTTATCAACCTATTTCGCAGCTTTGCCACTATCCCCAATAGGGTAGTTTGCTCCGGCAACTTATATGTGGCATCAAAACCAGCATGTATGAAACTATTTGGTGCTTTTCAAAATGAACACTCGGGGGGGCATGCATTTAGATGTTGATAACAATGGTTTGCATCACAATGAGAGGGGGGAACAGAATTTGTTTGTGAATTTGGATCTAGCATGGTGAAGAGTACATTTGTTTCATTTACCCAAAAAAAAGAATATTTACATCTTTGAGAAACACGACCTTTTCATTGACCAATGTTTACCACAAGTGAGGAAGAAGGTTCGCGGCGGGGGGGCACTTTTAAAGTGGTAGCAGTCCCTGCCATTGTAACCATCATAATGTGGTATAGTAAATTTCCTCTCTGCCTTATTTTAAAAAATTAAGATATTACAATTCTAATGTTATCATAACACTAATAGCCGTTGGTCATTGTCACCATAAATATCCTTGCTTTGTACCCTGATGAGAACAACATATTGGTCTGCTTTTCTTTCACATTTTAGGAAAGAATAAAAAAGCAACACATATGCACAAGGTATTCTGAAATGCAACCAATGCATCAGTCATCTTGCACATATCAGACAGAAAAACCTGTTCTTCCAAGGTAAACCACCAGATACAAATATCAACTTAAGCTCCCCAAGACTTCAGAGTTTCCTATTCGTAAGCACAAGTCAAACCACATAACAGCCAATTTCAAAAGAAAAAGAAAAAAATCATGTCATGCCTTGAATCCCGGATCCCCTAAGTATAATTTTCTAGCTCACCCTTCTCCAATCACATGCATAAACCCCAAGAAAGCAGCTATCAACACCAATAATGCGGCAATTGCAATACATTGATCAAGCTGTCTTAGTCAATTTTCTGTTTACAAAAGTTCTCGGATGTAATCACAGTTGAGGGAAACCAGAAGGCAATGCATTTTCTGAAAGCTCCTTGCCAACATAAACAGCAACTTAAGGAAGAAAAGCTCATCGGTATGATGGTAATCCACAGTTAGGCTGATGGACACACAATCAGGAGCAAATTCAATGTCTTTAAGCGTGATAAAACCTTTCTGATTCTCAATTGACTTATTCTTCAAAACTTTCATAGTTGTTGCTCCTAATTCTTACCTCTAAAAATAACCTTCAAAATCACTGCCAGTAATTACTAATAACATTTGAATCTGAGCAATGCTCATGAGCAGGCAATCTATCCACTCGAATCAAAGATCGTAACTCCACTATAAGATGGAGGATAAGACCCAGTATACAAACCCCAACTCCTAATATAAATTACTGCTAAATCCTTCAATTTCGATTTATTTTCATAGACTACACATATAAGCGGTCATTTTTCCACACAAATCAGCAAACGCATCAAAACAAGCAGCATACAATCATCAGATGGAGAATAGGTCAGACATTAATAATCTAACTACGAATCAAAATCACTTCCAAGTCACTATGAAATTCCAATCTGTTTTCATGAACAAAATTTCCAACGAATATCACCAATCCACTGACAATAAACATGGATAATTGAGAAAAATCACTTTCCAAAATGGGAAAAAAAAAATTAATGGTATAATGGTTTTACACCTTTCTGCATTTGCAGACCACCATGGCAGAGAACAGAGATCTACGAGAGAAGAATCAGAGAAGTACACTTTGTCGTGGGCTTGAAGAAGGTGAAATGAGAGAGATAGAGAGAGAGAGATTGAAATTTTCAGAGCATTTTTTAAATTCAACTAATTTGATCAATGGAGATCTGGTTTCTCCGGTAGAAGAAGCAATGGCGATTAAGAATAGTACGCTTTGTTGTAGGCTTGAAGAAGGTGAAGAGAGAGAGAGAAATTGAAACTTTCAGAGCATTTTTTAAATTCTACTGATTTGATCAATGGAGATCTGGTTTCTCAGGCAGAAGAAGCAATGGCGATTAGATTTGAGATTCGCTCTCAATCCCATGCATGAGGTAAACCCCCTTCGATTTTGGTCCTTGCCCAAAAGATATTCAGGCAAAACTGCATTCTACTCCCTCAGGAGTAATATTGTTCATTTACTCCCTCAGGTAAAACCCCATTTAGGATTAGCTATAGGACTCCAATTTTTTTGGGGTATAACCACTTTAACCTATATTTCCTAATTACAACTTTTAAGTACTTGAAAAAAAATAAATGTCTTAAGATTGAATAGAAATCATTCAATTTTTCAAAAATGAGATCTAAGTGTTAGAAAACTCAAATTTCACAACTTTTTTTTGAGAATAATCATCTAATAATTCCAAGGTAGTTACTAAAAAATTTTAATGAAAAGATCCTCCTAGGTAGGTCGTCTAATTGAGAGATTAGAAACAAACTACGCTCCCGATGAAACATAGTACACACATTTTAGGTTGTTTTTTTTTTTTCTATTCTTTTGTCTTTTTTTTTCTTTGTACATAAAGGTTATGTTAGGGTCCTCTTACACTTCGAGTATTTATTTACTGTACTCAATATTCATTGGCTACTTACCATATTTGCTTTGTAATACAAATTTATTAGAATAAGAGCATTTTTTGTCATTGGAATTAGTAGAATAAATATTTCTATAATAAAGAATGGCATTCTATTAGTGATTGAAAACTAATTAATGTTTCATGTGGGTGATGTTATATCTTATATGGATGATGTCATTATCTACTTTATTTAATAAATATTTTTCTTTCTATCAAGAAATTCTACTTTATCATTAATTTATTATCTAAAATACCCCCTGACATAGAAGTTACTACATTATGAGGTAAGGGTATCAAGTGTCCAAAATATTGAGTACATTAAATAAATATTTAAATGCTACTTGTGCTTGTAAACATAAGTGGTTTTGTCTACTAATGTTTTATTTTTGCCTTTTTTAAATAAATAATTTATTAAATTATTTATTTATTTATATTTATATTTTTATTGATAGTTTATATCTGTAGAGTTTTCATATTTAAATTTATCTCTAAAGACCCATCTAAAGAGATTAATCAACTGGCCTAAATTAATCCGGCTTTTCCGATCGAAATCGGCGTTTTTTTAAACCTTGGATATAATTATTATCATCTATTGTTGATTATGTGGTAAGAGGAGACCAAATGCCATGATAGTAGGTGTGGTAGATTCCATGTGCTAACACCCAACACGAATGGAAAAGCAAAACTCCATGTGGAAAGAGTGAAGAGAGTGAGAAAAGGGTTTGTAAGTGAAGCATAGTGAGAATAAATGAGAACTTTGAAGCGATGTTTAAAGTTAGAACTTGAGAGTTCTGGTTTCGGAAGGAAAATAAATGTACCGAATTTACCAAAATAGGTTTCGAGAGAGAGAAAGATGGGTGCCAAATTTTGTTGAGGAAAAAGCCAATTCTTGATAGATTCAATCTGATTTTTGACAGAATCGGCTGGTTCCCGATATATAGTAGGATCAGACTGGGCTTACCAATTTCTAATATGGATCGAATAATTCCGAGCTAGAATGACATTTTTAAAAACCCTAGTGCAAAAATCAATGTTTCTTGGCTCAAACTTGAGAGGAAGAGAGTGGGTTGTACTTTAGTAGTTGAATAAAATTAGGAAAAAGCTCGGAGTTGAATAAAATTTGGAAAAATAATTCATAAAGCTTATATTCCAAGATTAAAAGAAAGGAAAAAGTAAAGTCACACCACAAAACCCTACCAAACAATGGAGTTTCAATGCCATAAAATCTTATGTTGTGATCATTTCGATTTCGACAACAATGGATCTAATAAAAAAGAGATTTCAATTCCTTAAAACAATGCATTTTGTAACAAATTATAACCATTTACTTTCGAATGTTTATAGACATGCCAAATCTATATTGTTTTAGAGCTTAAAATTTCATAGTCAAATACCAAGAGCCGATCATAGGGGTATACAGAGCCCAACAGCATTTCTCAACGGATTTTAACATGTGGCTTTACATTTTTAATGTGAAACCCTAGGCCTTATGCTAATTGCACCATAAGATTAAAAGGAAAAAGTTTAGGGTGCGGTTTATATAAGGTTACAACCTTAAACAATCAAAATAAAGTCTCTAAATTTTATTATAAGACGTAATTTTGGACCAAAATTCTTAGGATGGCTTGATAATCTATTTTTACCTCTATTTATAAAATTTTAAACTCAAAAAATGGTTCATATCTAATATGTACGGTCCATATAACGTGTTACAAGATGTATTGTTTTTGAGACTCAAAATCTTTTTCTTTTTTTCATATCCATGCATCTCAATATTGAGATGATCAATTCAAGGGTAACATCAACTTTTTCAATGGATTTTGGTGATGCGCCTCATTTCAAGGTTGCAACCTTATACAATCTTTTTTCCAATAGTTTATATACAAAGTTGCGATATTACTTTTAGAAGTGAAGCTGCAATAATCTACATAGTACATTTTATTTGGACAATGAAGATTTGATACTATCTTAAAAATTAGTGTAGCTTTGTGACGTTATCTTAAAATACATGCAAATCTATACCGTCTAATTAAAATATACGGTTTAGAATATAACAACCTTACGTTTTATATATAAGGTTGCAATTGCACCCAAACTAAATTTAAGAGGTTTACTTCAAGGGTGTAAATCTTTGTTTGTTCCATAAAAACCAATGCCAGAAATGCAAATTTAGCACAGAAAACCAATATTATTGCCTGAAATCTATTTGGGCCCTTGATTATGAAATATGAATATCCAAGCCTAGTACGAATTTGGCATATATATGAACACTTAAAAATAAATGGTCTAAATAATGTGTTATAATACACAGTATTTTTAAGGCGTAAAATCTTGTTTATCAAATCCATAGTTGTCGAGGTTTATATGATTGATAAAATGTTTTTCACATCAAACCAACAATGTCCATCAAGATTTGAGCTATGGCTTCGATAGTGTTCAATGGACAAACTTGTACATTTGGTCCATGATCAAAACACCCAATCTTTGAGATTTTTAAGACCTAAAATTTTTCATGTCATCTTTGACTCACCTGATTGAGCTTTTATTTTCTAAATATGATTTGAGCTCACTCATGTTATCCTTTTTTTAATATGATTTTGAGCTCTTAAAACCGTATATTATATCATTCATCGAATGGTTAATCTAGAGTCAAATTTTGCGGGGGGAACTCAAATTTGGAGCAAAACTTTGAGCTCCATATTATATTTTTTGTTTAGAAATGAATATGTAAACTAAGAGTTTGGGTGTCAAGCAAATAGTCTCAAGTTGTTTTTCAGTTGTCAAACCCAGGACCACTCCTTGTATTAGATGATGGGATTTCCTATACATATGTAAATTTTTTTGATTTGAGATTAGGCATTGTATATGAAGTGAGAAAGTATTGTTTATTGTATATAATGGTAATACAATGGTCTGGTATGCACTTTTCTATGTATGCACTTTCTTATCTTGTTACATGCAATATAATCAATCCCTTTGATTTTGATTTCCAATACGAATACAAACTGTGAAAGCGTAGCCTATCGATCCTTTTGATTATGATTTATAGTACGAATATGAACCGTGAAAGCGTGACCTATCCATCCTTCAGGCTCTAATATCACTTGTTGTGCGCGGAAGCTCTAAAACCTGATGGGTTGATTTTTCGTAAATAAAGTATGAGAAAAAAAAATCAACAAAAAATAAACAACAAGCAAGTAAATAAAGTAGAAAATACATAACATAAAAAAAGCACAAAAATTTATGTAATTCATCATATATGTGGCTACATCTATGGGCATAGCAAACTGTTATTATACCAATGATACACCAAAGATTTTGAAACGTAGAGTTATCTATCTAATATATAAAAAAACTCAGTCAAGCAAACCCTTTTAAACCACTCTCCCTTCATTCTCTTTATTTATAAGAATAATTACTGATAACACCAGATAGAGACGCGAGATCAACGAGAAACTGACTTTCTCTCTAGCTAAAAGGTGAATCACCCAAAATTTTTATGAGAGCCACTTCTCTACAAGAAACATACTTATCAACGTTCAACAATTTTCAGAGACACATCGCAATGTTTCTCTCCATAGGAAGCCCTCTTATATTTAAGAGGAAACCTTGCATTTATGCATAAGTTTCTTTACAAGAAACAAACTTCTCAACCTTCAGTAATCTTCAAAGGCATCATTACAATGTTTCTCTTCATAGGAAGCTCTATTCAAGTTTCTCAACTTTCAATAATTTTCAAAAGCACCATCACAATATTTCTCTCTATAGGAAGCTCTCTTATCTTTAACAGGGAAACCTTGCATCTTATACACATGAGGTCCTACCATCTTCTATTTCTAGAGGAAGCCATTTTTACCATATGATAGCCTAACTAGGGCACACAAATTCTCTGTAGTTTCATCTCATATATATAAGATTAGGAATCCACACTAAATAAAAAATTTCCGATGGATGTTACATATATCTCAAAAACCAAGAGATATATCCATCCAAGAGTCTTAATCTTTTTGGATTTCTATTTCTTTTAGAAAACTTATCAATATCAATCTCAATCCCATATAATATGATATTTCCTTATGTGGGTGATTTTGGATAGCATCAAATCCAATAATCTCTACCTTGATATCAAATCACCTACTCGCCATGCTAACAACCATTGGATAGCTTTATAAATTCATCTTTTGCCAAATAAATTCATTCATCATTTTTGCTAAAAAATAATGTTTGTCATCAAATTTCTCCACTTCGAACCTTGCATTCGAAACCTTTACTCTAATACCGAACAACCCCAAACTTTGCTATGATATCATGAAGAAATTTGAGAGAGAGAGATGAACTCTCTGAGAAATAATTGTGCCCTTCACAATTACTTATGGCGGTTCTTTCATTATGTATATAACGGTAATATAATGATGGTGTAGTATGCAATTTTTTATATTATTATATGCAATATACATTTTTCCGTATAACATTATACATTTTACATTTTATTAGTCTTAGATGAATTCCTGGACCAAGTGGCTTGGAGGTGTTTGGGTTTATACTGGGTAGCTAGCATCTTAGAATTGATCATTTAAAAACCACTCTTACTCCAAAGTGTGCCAAAAGGTCCCTTTGAAAGCAACATGGGGCTTATTCATAGATAAAACCAGGCCCTGTCAACCGCATTAAGCAATCTAGACGGTTGGCTTATTTTGAACTATTTACCTTTACCTCATTGTTTATTTTTATTTTTTTCTTTTTCTATTTTGAGTGCTAAACCTCATTGTCTTTCTCGAACTTATATATATGATAAAATATAATAACCAAATCTGCATTTTGGTCAATTTATTTATCAAAAAATAGTTATTCGTATTTTTATTAGATACATCAATGTGATACATATGCATTCCAAATTTTAATATCAAAATAAAATATAAAATAAAATACTCTGGGCAATCAAAATTAGACGATGAAGACAAACTTGTGATCTTATGACTAAAGCTATCTCTATTGCCCACCCATATCACAAGATCATGGGCACATTTGTTTGTAGAAGAGGGGGTTGCCCCTTCCATGCTTTAACATAGAAGGGTCCGGCTTCCATAAAACAATGTCGAAAGATGATTTTGTATCTTTAGATATTGTGTTGTAGCTTCCAATGTCCGATTGGTTGTATTTGGGTCTCCCAGTACTTAAAACTTCCACCAAAATAAACACACACGCCTACTTAAAAGTTCCACCAAAATAAACACGCCTTGAAGGTTTCCTGTGAGGGGAAAAACCCAAGGACTTCTTCTGTACGGAGTGAGAGACACGATTAGGCAAAACTCTGAATGTATGGTTTTCCAAATTTACAGAGAGAGAGACTCGAAGAATAGGGGTGGCACTTGGGTCGGGTGGACCCATCAACAAGATAAGTAGGCTCGAAATGGGTCCAGGTTAAACTTGGCACGTTGGGTTGCTGGTTCAAATTACTTGGACCTGGCCCAAATTTGGGCAACTTCGGCCCTTATCAGATTGGGGTCTGGGTCACGGTCTGTACGGCCTAGTATAAAATATACAACAAGTGTATTTTCATTTTAATTTTTAAAATTTTAAATCGGGAACTGAATCCGAATAACTTACGCCCGACTTTCGTCCGGGTCTAAATGGAGACCCGGAGGATCTTTCTCCAAGTTAAGGAGACCTTGAATGACCAAATAGAGGGAGTGAGAGAGAGAGAGAGAGGAGGGAGAGAGTATTTTCAAATCGAGAAGGCGCCCTTAAATCTCCATCTCCCTCGGAGCTTTTACAAAAAAATATATATTCCCCAAATCCCAGGAGAAATCGATCACCCATTTGAACTGTTCCAGCCCCCTCGTTGGTCTCCTCTCTCTCTAAGAAATTCCATCTACCCATTTCTCACTCTTATCTCTGGCTCTCTCCAATGCTGTTTCATCTCCCATTATTTCTTTCTGAGAAAAGTTATTTCATCGCCCATTATTTCTCCCCTTTTTCTTGCTTCTCGTTACAGTGATATTTGAAGCTCCAAGTTTTCGCATAAAAAAACCATGAGCGCGGTGTTACCACCTCCAGTCACTGGCAGAGAGCTCTCAAACCCCCCTTCTGATGGCATCACAAACCTCAGATTCTCAAATCACAGTGACCATCTCCTCGTCTCTGCTTGGGATAAGGTGTTTTTGCCTTTATAGTATATTTTTGCCTTTTTTTTTTTTTAAAGTTATTAAATGCTACTAATTTATGATTTTCCAGTGATTTGGTCGGAGTGCCTGACTGTGGATGCCAGCGAATATTTATTTTTTCAAATATATTTTTATGATTAATTCGTCATTTTTCATGGATTTAATCAGACTGTTCGACTGTACGATGCAAGTGCAAATACATTGAGAGGGGAGTTTATGCATGGCGGTGCTGTCTTAGATTGCTGCTTTCACGATGATTCATCTGGGTTTAGTGCTAGCGCTGATCATACAGTAAGGAGGTCTGTTAGTTCTTCGCCATCACCATTGCCGTAATTATCATGGTCATTGTAAATGTATGGGCTTTTGGATAGTTCCTTGAAGGTTTTTGTGCTTTTTTTTTTTTTGGGTGCTTGATTATCTGTAATGATTAGAGAGAGAAAGTAGTATCGCATATTTGTAGTTTGTTATGCTTCTGGCTGGATGAGGCTGCTTAGGTTTATATTTTCGTGCCAGTTATATTTTTTTCATGTACCATCCATTCCATTTTAAGCCCTAAGATTAACATAAAATACGCTTGGAATTTCTCTATTGTACACGGACCATAATAAACACTCATAGATCCATTTTCACAACTTAGTAATTGGAAACGTGCCCTTTACTTTGATGCCTTCAATTTCTTATGCATTTGGTTGGTGAATTTTTTTAAATGGCTGCATCGGAATCTGAAAATTTGGCTAAATTTGCATCTAATCTGCTTTTCTAACAATGCTCGTTTCAAATATCATCATCCATTAACCTGACATTCTCAATTCTGTAACTTGGCCATCTAATATGAGATCTAACTTCTGATGCTCTTGTTATTTGAAGTTTGTTGATTTGGTTTCTGGTTGAACTCCAATTAAAATATATAGGTATATCATGTTTATGCATGCATGATTGGTGATTACTGATTAGCAATGTGATCAGATGCTAAATTTTTAGCCTTAGTTGGTTCCCGTAATGCCTTCTGACTGGCTTGAGCTGGGTGATTTGATACATATTATTGCCTAATCTAGTTACAAGTTCCCAAAACAACGAAGTGTGGAACCTAGAGTACCCCATGTTTTAACTGGAATCTGCTGAACTTATCTTCATGGGGTATTTTAGTATCTTCATGGATAGAATGCATCATCTTCATGGCAGTGTTTTAGTATTTCATGAACAGATATATGGATATGCATTCATGCGCATTTATGCAAGTACATTTGTAGCAGTTAACAAAATGGTGTGTGGGGCTCACAACCTGCACTTGCCAATTGCACTCATACATAGCAGTGCTGTTCTACCCTATTATTTTAAATGGAATTCCTATTCTTCCAACCTATACATCCAGTGATATAGTTTTAACCAATAACTGCATTCATTTGTCAGGAAATAAATTTGTGTCCTCCAACAACGTGTCAGTGGTCCAAAGATTTGTCCTTTCAACAGTCTAATGATTATAATCAACATAATACATGAAGAGGCAAGGTTTCACCTTGTTCTAACATGCTAATGGATTTCCATGGTTTGTCTTGTGGAAATCTCTGATTGATGCTTCATCTTTACTTATATGGTGTATTGATGTCCTTCAAGTTGCTTGCCAATGATTTGCCATAATAAATGGTTTTCCAAATCCTAATAACTTTCTCATCTATAAAAATTTTTGGATCATTTTGTCAAGAGTTCTCTGTCTAACCTTTGCTAAATGCATTTTTGAAATGCTTGCGATTTTCATGCTGTCGCATTTTAGTAACATCAAGTTGTTTTTTTATTTTTATTTTTTATTTTTTAATTATTGGTTGTAGTTGTTGAGAATTATTTATCTCGAGCTGATGTTGTTGAATTTTCCTCTCCTATTCATGCATTGTAATTTCAGATTCGTGTTTGGTTCCGGTAAGGAGGACATTTTGGGCAGGCACGATGCTCCTGTTCGCTGCGTTGAATACTCCTATGGTGCAGGTATTTTGGTTGTTATAGTTGAAGGATATGCACATAATTGAAGAACATGCCCTACTTTCTCTTTCTCTCTTTTGACTTCTTTTTATTAATATGTAGTGGCTTTATGATTAATAACTATCCCTTTTTGGCAATACCCTTATTTCAGAGTGGCTAGGATGTCATTGTTCTTTAGACCTTTTCTTTTTCTTTTGCTTCTTATCTTTTAGATTCCTCTGTATCTGATTTTAGTCATGATTAAAATGGTGACGTTTAACATTCTGTTTTCTGATAATGAATGATAGTTAAAATTCTGCTTGTGGAAATAACTCCTAAAAGGTTTGGATATCTTTGAGTGTGAGGATGAATGCAAGATATCGTGCTAACTATTTTACAATAGATCTATAATTGATGCAGGTTATCTATCTCATTACACTTGCAAATAAAAGGATAGGAGGCTTTGCCTGGGGCTGGCAATGGGTCGGGCGGCCTGGTTGGCCTGCCCCTGTAGATTAGGCTTGGGCCACAAATGTGGCCTGAGGGCTGGGCCTTGTCTTGGTGGGGGCTATGAAAGGGCCAGCCCGGCATTGTCCGGCCCCTTGTTTCCTTTTTTTTTTTTTCCCTTCTCTTTTTTCGCTTTGGGTGCATTAGGCCCTGTCCCTATAGGGCTGGCCTCGCCCCTTGCCAGCCTAGCTATGCCTGCACTTTTGCACATGGTATATGCTCGAGTTATTGTCTCAGTATATGTTGAGCTTATGTCTCAGTTTCTACATATACTGAAAAAATACATAAATGAGTGCATAGAATCTAAATCCAGAAGTGTATTGCTCATTTCAGATATAGAATGACATTTGGACATGCTGTATTTTGTGTGGGATTTGAAGTAGTTTCATTCCAATTACTTTCTATTAAGTAAATTTTGGAAAGCTAATGTTTTGCAAATGTATGTCTGGATATCACTTCCTGGAGGCACATGAATCTGCGGATCTTCTCACCCATGGGTTGGATTGAATCCAATAAAAGCAAATGATGCATTTGCAATTGCCATCCTAGGGAAATGGATGCGTTCAGTCAATACCATGCCTTCTATATGCTTTAAGGAGAGTTGAGAGCTTAGCACCTGGGCCACTGCCTAGCAATTTATCTTTATTTAAAACCTTCTTCTTTTAAATTTATCCATCTTATTTTTCAAAATAGTGAAAATAAAACTTAGGTACCTTATGTGAGGGAGTCTTGGGTATAATGGAGCAAGCCTTGAGGGTACCCTGAAGACTCTAAACATGTCAATGGGTTCATCAATCCCCTTTGTAAGCCTCCAAAGACACACCTCAAAGTCTTGTATATAGAAACAGGACTTGCATGTGCACTAGAAGTCTCCACTTCTGTGGTTCTAGGATAGAAGTTGTGTGGGCTAGGACATGAGAGACAAACAATGGTTGTTGGCTGAGAACTGGAGCTAGAAATAGTGGGTTTTAGGCTGAGAACTAGAGAGTGAGCATAGTGGGTTATAGGCTGAGAACTTGAGAGAGGCAATGTGTTATCAGCTGAAAACTATTGAGAGAAATCCTAGTTAAATAGTTGAGAACTAGAGCAGAGACAATGGGTTATGGGCTGAGAACTAGAGAGAAAACAATGGGTAAATGGCTGATTAAAGAGAAAGACAATGAGTAATGGGGAGAGCTCTAGAGACTAAAAACAATAGGTTATGGGCTGAGAATTAGAGAAAGAAATAATGTGCTATTGGATATGGGCGAGTGAAATGGTAGATTATGGGCTGAGAATTAGAGACAGAAAATAGGGGTTCAATGGTTGACGACCAGAGAATTAACGGGATGATATCTTGACACATGATCTATGGGTTTTAGGATGCTCTTACAGTGATAACAGACAGGGTTCGGATATTGAAAGTAGTGAGAGAAGATGGTTTTATGGAGTATAAGGCAGGGACTACAATTGCCTATTCAAAGAAAGAGGGATTGGACCTGCACCTCCACAAAAAGAGAACTCAAGGATTATATGATGAATAGAAAGAACATGGAAGATGCATCTTCGGGTCATCTTGCTAAAAGAGTCAGTCTTGGGGTTTTACTGGTTTGCTTAAGATATGTGTGTGTGTGTGTGTGTGAGAGAGAGAGAGAGAGAGAGAGAGAGAGAGAGAGAGAGAGCACCTAAATGTACTTTAGAGAGAGGCAATACAGCCAAAAGTTGCTACAATGTGATGTGTAGAGTTCCATTCTCACCGGAGAGAGCACCTAAATGTGCTTTAGAGAGAGACAATATAACCCAAAAGTTGCTACAATGTGATGTGTAGAGTTACATTCTCACCCGTAAATTAATGTTAAGAAGAAAAGAAAAAGAGAATACAACAAACATGTGGGAGAGAGAAATAGAGAAACAACACAGACATGAGCGAACAAGAAGAAAAGAAAAGAGAGAAGATGTGCAAGTTAAAGGGACATAAGAGGAAGAAAATAAGAAAAAGGTGGAAGAAGAAGAGCAAAGATGGAGAGGAAGACAGAAGAACAGGTTGTAAAGAAAAGTGGGCAAAAACTATGGAGAATAAGACAAAAGTAGAAGAGCAAATGGAAAATCAGTGAGAACAAGCCAAGAAGAGAGGAAGAAAACATAAAGAGAAGAGACCAAGATGAAGAAAAGCGATAGATGAAGACAAAAATGGAAGAAGTGATAGAGAATGGAAGTGGACCTCTTTGGGTATATTTCATAGTTAATCTCCTATGATAGGCCTACCTAAAGAAGGGGTTCTCTCTTTGGGCTTGTTGATCCTCCCCTACCCTCCCTTACTAAAATTACCGCTAATCCCTTTTGTAATGAGAAGGGAAGAATGATTATGATTAGAGATTTGGATTAGACTGGGATGGCATTTGTCATATGATTGAGTGGATTTTGATTTTGGGATGGTAGGAAGAAAGGCTTAGCTAGTGCCATGGCTAAGGGAGAAATTTGGGATGGTTAACTTTAGAGAATGAAAGTTTGTACGAAGAGAGAGGGTGAAAGGTGAAGAAGTGATAAAGATGAACAATAATAGTGTAGTCTTAATGAGATTGAAATTGGCTAGAGACACCCTTGAACCTTAGATGGGGATAAGCTTTCTTTGGAGGTTTTATGGGTTGGAAATAGAAAGAGGCTATGTCCAATTGGCATGTGGAAAAACTACGTAACCTAAGAAAATGGGGCCTGAAAAAAATTGTGGCGAGAGAGAAAATTAAAAATTTTTTAACAAAATGATGCATGCATCCTCCTAGGTCACTAGGACCAAAAACACAAGGTAGAGTATTAAAAGACAGTTTTAGCGTTGGTGTGGATCAAATAAACAAAACATTCATCAATGCCACAATTATTAGGAGAACCTTATAAAAGTCTTGTATCTACTTTGTGTGTTTGATTATGGCCTATTTTGTGCATTTGATTATGATTTTACTGTACACCTTGTATGTATATGTCAAAAGTTTTTCGTTTAGCCGTTTTTTTTTTTTGGTTAGTTTAGTGGGGATGATGAGCCCCCTACCCATTTTTTGAAATCGTTAGTGGTTTTTAAATGCGTTAGGTGAGAATGAAAGCCTAGACAAAAGGGTTATATGGAGGGATTTGAACCCTCATCTTAATGAACAATAAGCATGCACACTGCCCAACACACTACTTGAGCATTCTTTTTCGTTTAGCTGTTGATTTTATCTATGTGCATATCTTGTTTGGATTGTTGAGTGAAAAGGGGGATCTCTAGTTCATATTGTCTTGCTGGTCAATCAAATTCATGAGAGAGTTGGGATTGCTAGAACATTATCTAGTTTTGGGTTATCATTGCCTTTGAGGTATGATATTTAAATACATATGAATAAACTGGCAAAGTTTGTATTGAAGGATTCTGGTATTTCAAAAGGAAGAACAAATGGGGTTAGCCTGTGAGAATCTTACTTTGTGACCACCCAAGTGAATTTTGGGTGAGCCTGTGAGAATCTTAGTTTGTGACCACCCAAGTGAGTTTCTAGGTGAGGATCTTCTCTATAGTTGCAAGACTGGGGAGCTCATGGGATAGTGACCCAGTCTGGAAGTTGATCAGATTGAAGTGGAGGGTGAAGAGAAGACGCCCATAATCATCTTTAGAGGTCGTCATGAAAATCTAGGAGGAGAAAACAACTTGAGGAGCCACTATTTCTATTTTTGTGGTTGGAATCCAGATAAGATCTTTGAAGTTTATATAGAGATAAAGGAATTCGAAAGGTTGGGTGCATCTGGATGTTAAGTTGGGATCGCAGTGGGAGGGAGAGAAAAGATGCATGTAGTGGTTAATAGAGGTAGTGTAACCTAGGGGAAATGAAACACCTAGAGAAGGTGGAAAGAGGTTGTAGTTGAAGTGAGGGATTAATGAATTAAATCCTCCAACCACAAGGAGGGAGGAGTCTTTGTATTTGAGTCAGCTTGGGATTCCCCCTTGAGGATCCTTCTCAAATGGAGATTTGATTTTCAAAATGTAGGTTTAGTTCTGTGTCGACCGACCTGAAGTTCAGAGGTGGACATGGTTGTTGAGGTTGGAATTCTGAGACACATTCAGAATGCAAAGTTAACAGAAAAATAATAGATATTATCGTATTAATGAAATTATGGAAAAATCATAGTATCATATTATTAAATAATTTATTTTCACTGCATCATGCAAATCATGGGTGCTTCTCCTTGCGCAATATATTACTATGCAGAATATGATAATTTCCAGATTGATATTCACACAGTTGAATAACCTTGCAAAATATTCCATGTGAAGGACAATGTTGTTTGTGAGAGATGCAGCCTATGAAATGCTTATTAGGCTTATTTTTTCACATTTTGGGGTTTTCATCACTAGCTTGCTCACTTCTTATTGTTCAAACATGTGAAAAATTCATTCCGTAGTTGTTGGGATCAACAACCGAATCATGAAAGGCAAGAAGATCCCTATGGTTAGGAGCTCCGTACAATGGATATTAGGGATTGAGATCCTCAAATGTTAAAGATCTTGATTTGAACCACTCCCAACCTTAACTTCATAAAAAAAAACGATCTTGATTTGAACCTTTTCAGGATCTCAATCCCAACCTTAAAGGAGTGTATAGTTGATGTAGGAGAACTTGAGGGAATAATAAAATTAACAAGACACAGGCTAAACACAAGCAATTTTGGAGAAACCCTAAGGTTTTCTCCCACCTAAGACTCAAGCGTTAGGCTTCTTTTACAAGACAAAGTCTTTCTTTTCTTAAAGAGGAATACATGAATGACTCTCTAGCCCATCCTTGCCCTTATTTATATTAAAAAATTATTAGTTTGGTCAATATTTGTCTATACAATTAACTTTTGACCAAAAGGTCCTAACATAAGTATAACTTGAAACTAAACTCCCTAACTTTAATTAAAATATCTAAAAAGTCCTTAGAATTCTTAGAAACTAAAAAATCCTAAAACTAAAATGAAAATATACATCTTTTAAAATTGAATAAAAATTAAAAATAAGCATAATTTTTTCCTCCATCATTTTCCCTTTGATGGAGAAAAGTTTTGAAGTGTGCTAAGATGAAATTAGCGTCAAAACCACCTTCTTCAACTTTCTTATTCTTTGTTGGTTCAAAGATTTTTCTTGGTAAAAAAAATTCCTTAAGAAACGGATCCTGATATGTATATTGAAGTAGGGTCACAATTTGCAACTTCTGAATCGCCGTGCTTCCACTGCGCTACTGTGATTCCAATCCCCTGAATTTCTGGAATGCTCTATCTCATCAATATTAATGACATCTTCAAAGGTCATGATTTGGATCAGTCCTCCTGTTGTCTTCTCCCCATATTCTTCACCCTCTTCCAAAATATATTCGCTATCATCTTGGTCCTTATCATAGATTGGATCTCCTAAAAAATCTTGTTGTTCATCTGAGTATATATCGAAGATTGGTGGTGAATCCCAATTTACAATTTGACTTTCCATGCAATCTATGTCAAAATAAAAAATTCATCATTTAAATTGAAAACCCTAGAGTGATGTTCCTCACATCTAGGTCTTTTATCACTATCCTCATCACCCGACTCCACACGCGGAGCGCGAAAGTGAAAAGGCTTGCACTCGAGATCTTCTTGGGCTGAAAGATTACCGTCTTGCCCATTATTGAGGCTCGCGAACTACTGCGCCAGCTGCTGTACTTGCCTTTCAAGTTCCTCAATTATGTCATCTATAGGATCACGAAGTAGATTTATGAAAATCCCCCTTTTATGGTCCCTTCTCGCCGTCATGGGTTCGCCGAAATCATGAAACCTAGGCAAATAATCATTAAAAATTGTTGAAATTAGCAAGATCTAGATTGTTTTGACAAACTTTGGCCAACATCAACAAACCCTAGACCCCACTATAATTTTTTCTCTTTGTTGTTGACTTAGGGCACCAAAAAAAGTGGTGCTTCAGTAACTCCGTACATACTACAATAACTTCAGTACTTGCTACACTAACTTCCGTGTAAATCGCGGGCTCTGATACCACTTGGTGTAGGAGAATTTGAAGAAACCAATAAAAATTAGCAAGAAGCACACAATTTTGGAGAAACCCTAGGGTTTTCTCCCACCTAGGACTTAAGCTTTAGGCTTCTTTTACAAGGCAGAGTCTTTCTTTTCTTAAAGAGGAATACATGAAGGACTCTCCAGCCCATCCATGCCCTTATTTATATTGAAAAATTATTATTTTGGACAATATTTATCTATATAATTAACTTTTGACCCAAAGGTCCTAACTTAAGTATAACATGAAATTAAACTTTGCAACTTTAATTAAAATATCTAAAAAGTTCCTAGAATTCTTAGAAACTAAAAAACCCTAGAACTAAACCCTAAAACTAAAATGAAAATATACATCCTTTAAAATTGAATAAAAATTAAAAATAAGTATAATTTTTCCCTCCAATAGTTCAGGATAATATATACTTTTTAAAATGGGGATCTCTTCATTTATAGCCATCAAGCAATGCAATTATATTAAAAGTATAATTGCATTGCTAATTAACAAAATCCTCAGTTTGTTATCTTAGTTTTTAAGGTGGGTATTGAGGTTCCTAATCAAGATCCAAAAATTTAAAAATTGGGATTCCTTGAAGATCCCTTTCCTGGAGCTCGGATCGAGATCCCATAGTAAGATCCCCACCTAAGCTGGGAGATCCTTGTAACTATGATTTATCCTTGTATCGACATGGGAATTAAGTGATTTACACAGATACTGGCAATCTGATATACTTCAAGGTTGCATTTTTCTCCAAGAGGAAGGAAATCCTGCTTACACCAACGGGTGCCTAAATCTCTTTAACAATTTATTCTTCTTTTTATATGTAGGATATTTTGTTGCCATGCGTGCTGTTTACTGCACAGTATTTTGATGTTCTTCTCTTAATGTGCTCATGATTGAATTGGTGGTGCTAATATTGTTTGGTTGGTCTCATGTTTCATCTATTATTTGCAATTTCATGGTTGTGTGCTGCCAATCTGACACCTCATATTTCAGGACAAGTTATTACTGGTAGTTGGGACAAGACAATTAAGTGTTGGGATCCTAGAGGTGCTAGTGGGCAAGATCGCACTCTTGTTGGGACATATCCACAGCCAGAGCGTGTATATTCCATGTCTATAGTTGGCAACCGTTTGGTGGTTGCAACAGCAGGAAGGCATGTGAATGTTTATGATGTGCGCAACATGTCTCAACCAGAGCAACGAAGGGAATCTTCTTTGAAATATCAAACGAGATGCGTGCGCTGTTATCCAAATGGAACAGGTATGGATTCAAACTTGTTCTATGAACTATAATGATGAAGAATTTGTGTATTCGTTGGATTTGGGTACTTTAGGAAGTCGTTTTGTTTGGAGAAGATCTTTTCTTTTACAATCACTTATCCATCAAAAGAAAAGAGAGCAAATTACAATCACTTCTTCATAGAACTTCCAGGATTTCATGCTATAATTCAAAGTTAGAAACCGTCATTTACATTCAAAAGAGTTGCTGCTAAAGCCTTCCTGTTTAATCCTTTTCCTGGACACTTTGTAGGGATCTGTAGTTAGGCATGTTTTCTAAGAACAGCAGATTGTTTGTGTTGGTAAATTTTAATAATACCGCATTTGAATTGAGGGGAGGCTGAAAATTCCTTTTTGAGAGGCCGACCACAACATCACTGTTTGTTGATTTGATTTTATTTTTGTGCAAATATGTGTTTGTGTTGATGCTTCGTATGGTTAATATATCATTTGAATAAATCAGTGTTAAAAAAGTTGTTTTGAGTTTTGGTGACTCATTTGAGTCGACTAGAGTTTTGGTGACTCATTTGAGTCAACTCGACTCGTGGAGTCCACAAGTTTTATTTTTGGCTGTGATGTTTGAGTAGTGCTAATACATATTGGGCTTTTGTGGTAGTCTTTTTGTGGTTGGCAAGAAAAACAAACTTCCCCAAATGGAAAAAATTGGGCAAGTTGTCATGGTTTTGGCTACGAGCTTTGGCCTCCAAGTTCAAGGTAGTATCAATTGCATCATTTGTTTTTTGTCTTTTAATGATTTTACATGTTGCTTTAAAGCCCGAAACCGAGCAGGTTCTGCTCAGCTTTTTTGTGGACCCATGAAAAAATATTAAAAATGAAAGATAAAAAATTGCAGAAAATTTATGAAAAATTTTTCAAATTGAGGAAAACATGTACAAGCATTCTGTATTCAAATCAATTCATTTGTATGTTTTCTCAAAATTTGTGGTTATGTTCTAAATATTTTTGGTAAAAAAAATAGTTGGCAAAGCAAATGGTAGATTTGGTGACAAAAAAGTCTTAAATCTCTAATCTTATCTAAGTTAACATATTTTTTAAAAAATCTCTAATCTATAGATGTAAGATTAAGATTAGAGTTTTCTTTGGGAAAACAAATTGTAGTGGTTGATAAATTGAATAGAATGGACTTACTTAGCATTGGATGTGCCTGATGGTTGTTGCAACAAGTTGGTAAATGTTGTAATGCTTCCTTTTCAAACGCCTAGCTCCCTAAAAGGTGGCTATGATGTATTAAGTTGTTACCTAGCCAATATTCCAAAAACTAGATTGGACCATCTAGTTCGACTGGATGAACCAATTCTTCTAATGGATAAATTACCTAGCCAATGATGCTTGGGGTTCTTTTTCTGGGGTTTCTAGTGATGGAGATAGTTTTAGAGATTGTGAGTTGACTTTGGTTCTATGATTTTTAGCAGTGGGAACGGTGAATTGGATTTTGGTTCTGGGGTTTTTAGCAAAGTAGATGGTGAATTGATATCTAGAAATTGGTGTTTTAGCAGTTAGTACGGAGAATTGGATGCCTGTTCCAGGACCTGACTAAAAATCTCAAGCTGAGTTTGTTCTTTATGGAATCAATTCGGGTTGGGCTTTAAGCATGACTTATCGAACTTGAGGCACTACTTAATGAATCTTTTCTGGCCCCGCCAGGCCAAGCCTTGGACTGGCCCTTGGAAGCCTAGAGTTTGTGGATAAAAAAACTCAGAGACTTTATGGTTATCAATAGGCACAAGAACCATAAAATTGAAGTGGGTTGTGGTATCTGTGGACAATATAATGTACTTGAGCTCCTCGACAATGGTTTGTAGGAGCTAGGATCCACAGGGGTAACTGTTACCTTTTGAAATGCTTAACGCCTTAAAAGGTGGGTATGGTGTATTAACAAGCCGACATCCTGTCCTTAAACTTCTATTAAGAGCTGATTATTGTTAGGCCTCTAATAAGATTATAATAACCCAAATAACATTATAATAAGATCTCATCATCTTATGATCCTGCTTTTGCTCAGACTCAGTCCTAAGCGGATTCCTACCCTAATCCTTCTAAACAACACTATTAAGACAATAATTGATGTACCTCATAGATGGCTAGCAGTAGCGTCTCTCCTCCCCTCATATCCCTCCCCGCCTCATCTGGTTCTAACCTCACTAACCTATACAAATCCTCCCTTGGTGTCTTCCACCCCCATCGTAATGACCACAAAGGCGTAGAAAGATGGCCCAAGGATAGCTGGAAGGAACCACAACTCAAGTGTAGGCCTCTTTCCGATGGGTCTTACCTGTTTTGATTTCTCTCCGTCGCAGCATCTGTGTCCATCCTTCAACGTCCATCCCTGGGCTCCTTCAAGGGAGCTTCCCTCCACCTCTCCAAATGGACTGAAGATTTGAGAGCCTTCCGCAGGCAAAAAACTTGGATTACAACTTCTGGTATTCCCCTACATTCCTGGTGCCAGGATACCTTCAAAGCCATTGGCAATGACTGCGGTTCCTTCGTAGCTGTTCATTGGAAGTCGATGAAGAACCTTCCGCTTGGGCCCCTTCTACTCATTGTTGACGTTCTCGATCCCCAGTACATCCCACCTTTCCTTTTGCTAGAAGTGGTTAGAAACTTCTTCCGGATTTTCATTTCCTGGTCAACGGCATCTCCAGCCTCGTCTCGCGTCATCTCTCCGATGGGGCTCTCACAAAGTGCCTTTTCTCACGGAGAGTCTTTCGTGCATCCACTCGAGACTTCGGACCATTGGACCCTCGTCTTCAGAAGACATAAAACTAGCAGCAACCACAAACCTCATCCCTTCAGCTTTGTGGAGCTCAATGGGTAATGCCAGCGACAGTCAAGGAACTCCTATCCTTTTACCCTGCACACACTGGCTTAAGGCAGGACGAACACTTTGGAAGGCCGTGGTGGCAGCTACAATTTGAAACATCTGGAAAGAGAGAAACTCCAGGATATTCCAAGGAAACGTTATCAAAGGCCCAACCTTACTCCACAAAATTACTTCCTCAATAATTTTTTGGGCAACCAACCGTCGAATTTTCTCAAGGATCACCGCTAACACTTTTTTAAGTCATTGGAGAAACACCATGCACCATAGTCCTCACAACAGGAACAGATCCCACAACTGGCAACCTCCCCCACAAGGAGCCGTCAAACTTAATTTTGATGGCTGTTCCATGAGAAACCCCAGTCATTCCGTAGCAGGAGGAGTTTCAGAGATCAAAACCGCACAATTTTGTTCTCCTACTCTAAATACCTTGGCGTTCAAGATTCTCAGCACGGCGAAGCTATGGCCGTTCTATTGGACATCAAGAGCTTCAACCGATCTTGGGGGCAAAACCTAATAGTGGAGGGAGACACTAGAAATATAATATCATGGGCTAGAGGAACTTCCTCTCCTCCATGGTATCTTGCTTTCATCTTTGACGAGATCGTTGATATTTGCAGGGATATAAATGTCTCATGGACGCATACTTTGAGGACGTCAAACAAGCTAGCCGATCTCCTGGCAAAGGACGGGGCCAAGGCTTCGGTTGAAGACTCTACCTTCGATCTGGACCACAGAGGGACCATTGTGTAACTGCGTGGCTAGTTTTTTTGCTTGCTTAAGATCATAGACCATCGATGTAAAGGGGCATACTATAAGCCCAGTTTTTGTAATCTCATTTTATATTTTGTATAACTTTGGATAGATTGATATGATCATTTTGTACCGACCCCATTTTTTACGGAGAGTCCTTCCATGGAAGGACTCTCGGTTCAAACACTCCATGTAAAATATTTATAGCAATACAGTTAACTTTATCAAAAAAAAAGAAAAAAACTACAGACCTCAGCCCTTTAGATGCTCATGGAAAGCTCACCTCTCAACACTATCTCAACCTATCTTACCTCCATAGGCTCCTCAGCGACCCTCCCTACCCCCGCCTACGCCTCCTCCCCCACCTTTAAGCCCACCTCTGTCACTACCACCACCTCCTCCACTTCCACCCCAACTGTTGAGGATTGATGTCTTGTATTATGAGGATATATATCTGCCAAAGGTGGAGTCAAAGAGATGATTCCGGAGGGCCGTTAAAAGCCTGAAGGGCTTCGATAATTTGTACCATCTACTTGGGACTCTATATTTTATAGCGATGGGGATTTTTTTTAGGGTTAAGGAAAAAACACAGATTTCTTTGTAATCAGAGAGAACAGAGAGGCGTGAGGGAGAGAGCTATTGGAACCCTATTCTCCATTACTAGTAAAGAAGCTCTCATCTCCCGTGGATGTAGGCATGTTGCTGAACCACGTATATCTTTGTGTTGTGGTTGGTTCTCTTTCTTTTGTGTTTGTTTCTTCTTTCTTGTTTTCGTGGATTACTTTAGGGTTTTCTACAAATTGGTGTCAGAGCCTAACAGGTTATTCCGCTTTCTGGGGTTTGCTACCACGATGATAGGAAAGGGCTCAAGCGTCAAGTATGACACAGAGAAGTTCAATGGAAAGAGTAACTTCACCCTTTGGCGACGAAGATTGAAGGATCTTCTGATACAACAAGGTCTGGCTAAGGCTTTGCTAGGGAAATTGAAGAAACGAGCAAAGATAGACGATGAAGAGTGGCAAGAGATCGAGGAAAAAGCGGTAAGTGCGAGTTGTCTGAATTCTCAGATGGCGCCTTGCGTTATTTGGTGGATCTCAAAACTGTTGTGGAGGTTTGGATAAAACTCGAGAGTATTTACATGATGAAATCTCTGACGAACAAGTTCTTGAAGAAGTAGTTGTATTCTCTTCAGATAGAAGAAGGTACGGATCTCCTTGAACATCTCAGCGAGTTCAGCTAGATCATAAGCCAGTTAGCAAGCCTTGAGGTCGAAATCGAGGATGAAGACAAGGCCCTACTTCTGTTGGCTTCGCTTCCAAGATCATACGATCACTTGGTTACGACTTTACTGTATGGGAAGGAGACTCTTGAGACGGACGAAGTCACTGCTA